CCACATGGTTCCCCGGTCAAGGTCAAGGAACACCGCCAGCGATCGGCTGGCAAGCGGGCTGTTGCCGCTGGCTACCAGATGAAGAAGTCGGTGGTGGCCCCGCTCATCGATACTGAGATGCACCCGGGAGAGGCGATCGCCTTTGCTTTGGACGCCACCCATCCGTTCACTCGGGACGCCGACATAGATGCGGACCTTCTGAATGTTCTCGAGCAGATCGTCAAGGATCCCGCCCAGGTGCGTGATCATCGCGCTTCGCTCTTGCAACACTGGGAGCAACGTGCTCAGGCCTTGATCCAGCCTTCTGACACATTGCTCAAACAGATACCGGATGTTCACCTGCGCCGCCTACTTCGCAGGACTACGGATGATCAACCGGTGGAATTGGGCAAGTTCTTTCACGTCGCCCTCTGGCGTGAGCTCATGGACACGGCCCAGTGCAGCGACGTTGATCTCATTGATCAGATCATGGAAGGGATGCCGATCGTCGGCGATATCGCCTCCTCTCGCAGGTGGAAAGCCGATCGTCACGGAGAAGCTCGAGCTCCCCTCTACGGACGCGAACGTGGCGGTGATTAAGTGGCTGCGATCGCGGCTGCCAAAGTCACCGCTGCGTGGCTGGGTCCTGGATGAGCGGCGGGCCTATCGGCAGGTCCCTATCTCTCCGGCCCATCGCAAGTGGAGTGTGGTCGCCCTGAAGGATCCTGCTACAGGGAAAGTGGCTTTCTTCGTGATGGTCGGGCACTCCTTCGGGTTGGTCTCGGCCGTCTACAACTACAATCGCCGCTCGGCTGCGATTGCCGACGCTCTAAGGCGCGTGTTCATCGTGGCTGGGTTCAACTTCTACGACGATAAGTACGGCTTTGAGCCGGAAGACACCGCGGATAGCGCGTTCGCGCTGGCCGAGAAGGTGCACTGGTGGCTCGGGGCGCGGTTTGATCAACAGAAGCTCCAGCTGTTTCCTACGATCCTGGGCGTGACCTACGACCTCGATCAGTACCTGCTTGAGATCAAGAAGTCGAGGAAGCAGGAGCTCTTCGAAGAGATCTCCGCGATCTTGGAGCATGAGGAGCTTTCGCCGGGCCAAGCAGGGAAGCTTAGAGGGAAGCTCATGTGCGGCGCTTCTCAGCTCTGGGGCAAGATCGGCCGAGCTTTCTTGAGGGCCTTGTCCGATCGGCAGTACTCTAGGAAGTTTTCGCCTGCTCTCCTCTACTCCCTCTACAAATGGCGGACGCTCGTGATGCACGGGCCGCCGAGGCCCATCCCCAGCTCGGGGCCGCGGAAGTCCGACGTCGTGATCTTCACAGATGGCTCGGCGCCGAGTTCGAATCCCAAGGATCCTTCTTCTGAGATGATTCGGGGAGTCATGTTTACCAATGTTAACCTTCCTAGGCAATTCGCCTCGGGAGTGTCTCGACAGATCATGTCGAGGTGGTTCCCGAGGAAGACACAGATCTGCATGTTCGAACTTTTAGCTGTGGTCGCCGCGATCCAGACTTTCAAGGAAGAGATCCGTGGAAAGTTGGTTCTCCTCTTTATTGACTCTGAGCCAGTAGAGGCAGCTTTGATCAAAGGCTACTCTGCGAAAGAGGACGTGTGCGAGCTCGTAGGGATTTTCTGGGAGCTTGTTCTGGAGCTTAGGTGCTCAGTTTACATCGATCGGGTACCGACCGACTCGAACCCTGCGGATAACCCCTCTCGTGGTGATGTCGCTACAGGTCTGCTATGCGGTTGGATCACGTCCCCTCGGACTTCCCTCAAGGAGTTTGAGGGCCTGGGAATATCGCTCATCTGATGTGTCCGATCGGATTGATGTTGCGGTCCGTGGTGAATGCCATGGCGCACCCCCCGGCGATCGGGGGTCCGATCGGACTTATGAAGATCGAGTGAAGTTTTGATGATCGGACTTGTGGCCGACTCCCACGTTGCGGTCGCACAAAAAGGACATCGCCACCTCGTCTGTTCAGCGAGGGTACCGAGCGTTTGCGATCGTAGTAACTGGTCTCCTAACTATCGGTCTGGCAGGTAGGAATAAGGAGATCAGTTTCGCGATCGTTAGAACAGACGTGATCATGTGTTTTTCCGTGGCCATTTTGGCAACAGCCGATCGGGCCATACTGAAATTTTCCACCCCTCTCCACCCTATTTTACTTTCGGTATGGGGGATCCTCTCCGTGACGCTCAAAATCGAGTGGCCTTCAAGCGCTCGCTTTCGGCACGCACGATCAGCTCTGTCGTCCGTGCGTGGATTGCGGCCTGTTCACCGGCTGCTTCTGCGACCGTGACGGCGAAGAATGTTACGCGGCCGTTCGCCTGCCCCAAGAAGACTGGGCGCCGAATCAGCTCACTCCGCTGTGTACGGCTTGCGATCGCCGCTTCGACATGTGCCACTCCTGTCGCGGGATCCCGTGGGTGACGCCTCCGGCTCACCGGGACCGAGATCGACATCAACCAGCTGGCCCGAGGGTTGGGGCGGATCAACCTGGACCAGCCGATCTATTACTTGGTTCCGGAGGGCACTGATGCTCGTCCCCACCAAGGTGTGCTCAGAGCGCCTCTAGCGGCTCCTTACGCGGGCCGGCCGTTGGATTCGCGGCCGCCCACGCCTGGGCCTGCTCCTTTGCCCGTTTCCAAAGCCCCGCCGACTCCAGCGCAAGTCGTGCGGGCGCTCGCCGTGCAAAGGCTAAGGCGACTCCGGATGCTGCTTTTCGAGCCGCTGAGAGACAACTCATCGATTTGCTCGGTGCAGCTCCGCTCGATGACGATCCCATCGAGGAGCCCTCGCCGCAGAGCGGTGATCCGATCGAGGACTTTTGATTCTGTTTGCGGGGAATATCGCTCATCTGATGTGTCCGATCGGATTGATGTTGCGGTCCGTGGTGAATGCCATGGCGCACCCCCCGGCGATCGGGGGTCCGATCGGACTTGTGAAGATCGAGTGAAGTTTTGATGATCGGACTTGTGGCCGACTCCCACGTTGCGGTCGCACAAAAAGGACACCGCCACCTCGTCTGTTCAGCGAGGGTACCGAGCGTTTGCGATCGTAGTAACTGATTATATTATGTTATACTACATTATGTCATAAATTATATTTGTATTCACATTTAAACTGAGCAAGGTCGCTTCGAGCATCATCCTGCCAGCAAAGACAGAACCCATATGGACTCTCTCAGAACCCGCCATAAAGACGTTGTGTTTGCAAATGGGGAGGGGGGCTGCGCCCTTCTCTCTTTTTAAGCCGTGCAGGCTTGCTTTCAAGAACATCGCATCATGAGCAAGACTTGCATCAAACACAAAGCTATTTTAGAGCCTTTCAAAACTCATCATAAAGGCATTCTGTTTGCAAAAAGGGGTGCGTTACTGTTTTGTGTTATATTATGTCATAGAACGTTATATTGGACTATATCATGTTGTTATAAGTATGTCGAGTCGTATCAAAGTATATCATTTTTTAGTATATTGTAGACAGTTTTGTCATATGATCGTATAGTAGTATATTACATGAGGTTGTATTTTATGTTGTTATATCATATGAAGTTATATCATACTATATCGCATCATATCATATTATATCATATTCGATCATATCATATCATGTCATGTTATACTCTGTATTTCAGGATATTGTACAAACTTTTATTATATTATATGTTGTGTTCTTCTATGTTATATTATATCACGTTCCATTACATAAGAGTGGAATGCCATATTATATTGTGTTACATTATTCCGTTGTATCAGTATGATTTATACTTCATCATATAGTATTGGGTTATGTTTTATTGTGTCATATTATGTTATGTTACGTTATTTTATGTTCTTTTATATTAGATTATGTTATAATGTGTTATGATTTATGTTATTACCGTTTTTTTCATCATACATCATAATATATTATAGTGTCTCATTGTTATACCGTATCATAATTTATCTTATTATATTTTTTCTATTGTATAATGTTACATTACTTTGACTAATTTGTTTATATGATGTCAAAGTATGCAATTTGCATTTTTTGTATCATATTAACGAAGTTATATTTTGCTTTATCATATTATATTATACTATGTTATATTATAACATATTCCATTATCTGACACGGTGTATTATCATATTATGTAGAAATTTTTTTCGCTGAGCAAGGTCGCTTCGAGTATCATCCTGCCAGCAAAGACAGAACCCATATGGACCCTTTCAGAACCCGCCATAAAGAGGTTGTGTTTGCAAATGGGGGGGGGCTGCGCACCCCCCCAACCCCCTTCTTTCCTTTTAAGCCGTGAAGGCTTGCTTTCAAAAGCATTGCATCATGAACAAGACTTGCATCAAACACAAAGCTGTTTCAGAGTTTTTCAAAACTCATCATAAAAACATTCTGTTTGCAAAAGAGGGGTGCGTCATGGCTTTATTTCAGGTTATATGTTAAGACATATTTTATAACTTTATACTATATTATGTTTGTTTCAATTCATCGCGAATCATTTTAAAGTATAGGACAGCAACAACAGTAACAACAGTATTAACAAGAACAAAAACACTATAATAACGACTAACAACAACCACGACAACCACAACAACCACAACAACCACAACAACAACAGCAACAACACTCGTAATGACGAAAATATTGACGGCAACAAACAATGCGACTACAAGAACTTCCATAGCAATAACATTAACATCAACAAGTACAATAACAATAACCACAACAGCACTATTTAGTTCCTGTAAGGCTTGAAATAAGGTAATTTGGGCGAGCTGGCGAAGCGTGGCGCCCTGGACGCTTTCCACCAACATTCTGCTACCGTCTTCGATCGTGGCACTTTCCAGGACGTCTCAGATGAAGGGGCGTGCCAGCAGCGCTGCGTACAGTCGGCTGCAGCCAAGTGGGCTGTTTCCCCCCCCACACCCCGAAGACAGAGGAAACAAAAAAAATTAGCAAAAAAGGGAGCAAAACAAAAACTTCACCCATTGTAATTTATAGTTGTGTTTGACTGTGCCAGGTGAGTTGGCTGCAGCCGTCGCTGCTGCTCAAGCGTTGCACAATCCTCGCAATCGGGAGGCTTGTGGCATGTTGCCAAGTGATTACGCAGCACATTGGTGCCGAGCGGGTTCTCAGTACACGGGCCCGACGACAGATTTCGCGCAAGATCGCCACCCTCCTGGAGTCATGACCTTGACATGTTTGGACGTCGCGCGCTGTTCCTGCAATTTTGCTTTCGTAGCAGCTGGGAGATGTTTAGATCTTGCGAAGTTCAGCACTGAGGCAGTGCCCGCCAATGACAGACGAAGCCTGGTACACAGCGAGTGAGCGGTGAGGGCTTTGTTTCCCAGTGTCATACCAGGCATTGACCGCCTTGCGCGCGCTGCCGTCTGACCAGGCATGGTTGCCCCGATCACATGCATGCACAACTGACATGTGCTGCCGTCGGAGAGGTTGTTCAGGTGCTTCAAACCTTGGCAAGCAAGCTAGCACCCCAGTGTCCTCAGGGCCCTTTGCCTGGTGGTGGCACTCTGTCCGGTTTTTCGAACTGAAGCGTGAGTTCAAGGCGTGGCGAGATCTCTGACGCATCCGTGTGGGCGTGTTGCTCAGAGGAACCGGCAAGTCTTGAGGCCCAAGTCATCAGCCTCATCTGGGCAAGTGATGCCCTCCGCCGACTGGCAAATAAGGTCAGCCATGTGGTGAACCGGCTGGCAGTGGCCGCCTTCAACACAGCGCAGGCAGCACTTGATGCTTCTGAAAAGTTTCGCCAAGATACTCGAGCATTTGGAAAACAGGGAGTGCCCGTGCCATCCACGATGGTGACAGAGATGCTGAACAGGCTGGGTACGGATTGGACCATATCCCGCTATTTCGTTCTGTCTTTGCCCAGAGAAGTTTTGCCTGATTCGGCAAGGCATCTGCCGAAGTTGGCAACTGCTGCGAAGTCATTGTTGTTGCAAATCCCGGAGGCGGTTGCTCGGTCGGTATAGAGAGAAGTGATGCGTCTCTGTTCGTCTCAGTCTCCTTACCATGCAGTTAAGTTCTTCCAGAATACACTCTTTGACTGCCCTTCTCTGGACCAGTGCTTTTCAATGCATAGCCGCTGCTTGACGTAAGCAGAAAAATGTGCGAAGATCATGTTAAGATGACAGCGAAGCTGGAGAAGCGAAGAAGCTGAAGCACAAGCACAAGGATTCACTTGCGAACCTTACAAAGTGGACTATTCGACAAGTGTAGGGAGTGTAGGGCAATGGTTTGCACGCTTGGATTTGAAGCCGGGCGTGCAAGACGAATAGTCAGTCGTCATTTGACTTGCATTCGGCAGCGCGTTGTGTTTTGAGTTTGGCCAATCAACACGGGCCCTTCCGGATTCAAACTGAGCTGGGTTAGGCAAATTCATCAATGCAGAGACTTCCTGATTTGAATCGGAGCCTTGCTTGTGCTTGTTTTCGATCTGAAACTGATCTACGCGGTATTTCCTCTTGTGGTTATTACTCCTACTGTTGCGACTTTCATGATTAGTATTATTATTACTACTACTGCTGCTGCTACTACTACTACTACTACTATTACTAATATTTACTAATTGCTGCTCCTGCTCCTGCTCCTACTCCCACTCCTCCCCACTCCTACTGCTCTACTACTACTACTACGACGACGACGACGACCTTTGCTACAAATACTGCAGGCTACTGTACTGCTAAATCGGTATCGCGGTTTGTCGATACAGCTTGTGTATGGAGGTGTCACACGAGCCATCGTACAACCCTGTGCTGAAATTTTTCTCTGTGATCAAGCATCCGCCAAAACCCAAAACGAACCGATAGTTGTAGGGAGGGGCGGAATGACTGCTTGGGTCTGAGGCCTCCCTCATACTCTCCTCTCCTAGGCTTGAGAGACCGTTAAACATGCGGACATACAAGCTGGGACGTCTCTAATCTTGCTTTTGAAGTAGGTGGATGCGATCAAGATCATACAGGACCATCTGACTTACCGCCGGGCACTAAGGCAACCAAAAGCTGTGGGGTGGGTACTTGTCGACTTGACACTTGTGTAGAAAGGTGGCGATGCCTCAGACTCCGTCTTCCAGGCAGCAACAACGCATCTACAGCAAGGCGTTTGGGCATCGCACTGGTGCAGCTTGTGTCAGCGTTATTCCGACCGTTGTGCTTGCTAGGGATTGCAGCAACTTCGGCCTGCAACACGGTGTACCCAATGGCCATGGATGCGTTTACCATGAGCAGCATGGGCTGCGGAATGATGCCTGCTTGGGTCCCATTTTTTGTGCAAGATGTCAGACGTCCTGCTTGAACAAGCGTGGAGTTATCGTGCACAATTTCTCAGATGGCGATGCCGGGCTGCTTCGGTTCGGAGCTCATAAACCCCGCTCTTCTGCTCGCTCCGAAGTGGAATGAGTCGGCTGTGCTGGTCGTGCAGGTGCCATGATGCCTGGCCAGATGTCTCCGATGGCAGGCCTTGCACATGAATATGGAACTGTAGAATTGGGTCTGACTCTCTTGTCTCCTGCTGAACATCGATGGCCATTCGTGAGGGTGTGGTATGATGGGCTGCACCTGGGGAGGCTGAGAGCTGAGGATCAGAGAAGCTTGCTTGCCTGAAATCCAGCGATTCGAGGTGCCATGCCATGTGCGACGAATGGCACCACTGAAGAAGCTGGTGCCACGGCCCCGGCAGCAACTGCGGCTGCTGCCGCGCCAACAGCAACAGCTATCGAAGACACGGGGGATGCCCAATCGGCCACTGCCAGAGTCCAAGATTGTTCAGTGCAAGACTGTGTAAGGCTTTGGGGGCCACCCGGAGTCTGGTCTGAGTCAGGAGGAAGGTACTGCGTTCACGCAGCCGACGGCGGAAGCGGTGGATGCTGCTGCGTCGGAGGGCGAGGACATTCTCCTGTGGTAGCTAGTAGCCGTTGCCATTGCTTCTGGCTTGTAGGGCCACGATTGAAGCAACTAGGCGTATTCCCCTTTGACGACGACTACTACTACCACTACTACCACTACTACCACTGCTACCACTACTACCAATACTACCAATACTACCACTACTACCACTACTACCACTACTACCACTACTACCACTACTACCACTACTGCCATTACTACCACTACTACCACTACTACCACTACTACCCCACTACCACTACTACCACTACTTCTACTGCTGCTACGCCTACTCGTACTCCTACTCCTACTCCTGCTCCTGCTCCTGCTCCTGCTCCTGCTGCTGCTACTACTACCACCACCACCACCACCACCACCACCACCACCACCACCACCACTACCACTACCACTACCACTACCACTACCACTGCCACTCTACTACTACTGCTACAGTCCCCCAAAATGCCACAGAAGCTGGAAACTTTCATCAACGTAAAACAACTTGCTAAGCCAAAGGTGGTCGAATAGTACGAAAACGCCACAAATTGCGTGCAAGACTTCGGTGCTGCGAAGAAGGTGTTAACGTGGCTAAGACCTGAAGCCGAAAATCCCCAAAGACTGAAACTCAAAATGCCAGCTGTGAGCGGGAGGGGCTTGCAAACTAAAGCCCAGATCTGGGCATTGGAGGGCTTGCTTTTGAAGCAGAGTGCGCTGTGTGCGCACTAGGGTGTTGCCCCCACTCCCACCTCCAACCTCCAAGGAAAAGGTGGTAGGACAACGGCAAGGTACTGCAAATACCGAGTTTAACGGAAGTGCTGTCAAGCAGCTGCAGCGCAAGTCTAGTTGGTACGGGGCGTGCCTACTGCTAGTTCTACTACCACGGCTGCTACTGCTGCTGCTGCTACTACTACTACTACTGCTACTACTACTACTACTGCTACCACTACTACTATTACTATTACTATCATTACCAGTACTACTATTATTGCTACTACGACTACTACTACGACCGCTCCCGCTTCTGCTACTGCCACTGCTACTGCTACCACTACCACTGCCTACCACTACCTACCACTACCTACCACTACGACTACTACTGCTACCACTACCACTACTGCCGCTACTACTACTAGTACTACTACTACTACTACTACTACTACTACTACTACTGCTGCTGCTGCTCCTGGGCTCGAACGATGTAGCTTAGCGTGTGTGTGTGTGCGCGTAGAAGTAGGCTGCAGGATGGTGCTTCCACACCTTCTTCTCCTCCTGGCCTGCCTTCCTCTGCCTGACCCTATCCCCCCCTGTCTGCAAGCCGCTGGGCCCAAACCTCCGTGCCTGACCGAACTGCCCTGGGAAGCAAGGCACGAGCCCCAGCCTGTCTTGCTGCACTGCACATGGCCTAATGGTCAGCGACTGCCCGGCCCTCTTTGCACTCCTGTCCACATCTGCAGGCTCAAGCTGTGGCCAAACTCCCGCTGGCCCCCCGCAGTTCACCAAGGACCTGCCGCACCATGTCGCAGCCGCGCTCTGACCAACCTACTGCATCGTCTGGATCGCCTCCATCCCAGGAACGTGCTGACCTTGCAGCGACGCTGGCCAGTCTACACCAAACCCTGGACAACACCATCGTCAGAGAACGCTACCGAGCAGGCCTGCACAACCAGGTCTGGAATACCAATAACTGGGACCGCCTTGGCTCATCTACGGCAAAATGCCCTGCCCCTCTGCCGACTGCCGAAGAACCCTAGGATGGTCAGCTGCCCCAGGCTCAGCCGGGCTCTCCGGACTCCATCGACACAGCGGATCTTATGGCTGCTGCAGACGAAGCGGAGAGGACTCTTGCGTCCTTGGCCAAGCCCTCCAAGAACGCCCTGGATCCAAAGCGCCCTCTCTCGAGATCCCGCTCTCCGGTCGGTGAGAAGCCCATATCCAAGTCGCAAGGCCTTCCTCCTTCTACAGACAGGCCCTGATGGTAGCAGTCTCAGTCAAGTCACCCAGCAGCAAAGCGCAGCCCTTATGTTCGCCACAGCAAAAGAACGCTATAGCCGCTACAGACTTGCGCATGTGCACTGTGATCTCTGCCTCTCTACGACCCCCCCTCCCCAGCTGTCTTCCCTGTGCACTGGCCCAGGTGACTCAGCCACGTGGACACCATTGCCTGCGACTTACAAAAAGCATTGTGCCCGCCGGACTTACCTCACCTCTGCCCGTGTACCCAGGCTAGAGGAGTCCTCGCCTGCGGTGGCCTGTTCCCCAGCTCAGTCTGGGAAGTTCGCCCTAGTCGTCACAGACAATGGTAGGCGACTTGCTGACAGACCACCTGCTCTCGCCGAGCCAGCGCCCCATCACTCTGCCCTGTGCCAATGGCCCCCCATCAGACAGCCTGATGCCAATTGCGACCCCAACCTTGGCCCGCCCCGGCAGGTCCTCCAGGCACATCGGCCCCGGAGGCCACTGCTACTGCCTTGGCATACAGCCTGTGCCTCTCCCTCCGTCTGCAATGCACTGCCTCTGTTGCCGCTGATCACCTCTCAAGGGGGACACCCATCTAGGCATTCCCACACCCCGGCCCGTAGAGTCTCGAAGAAGCAGATGCCTCGCTCAGATAGCAAAAGGCGACGGGACCAATCTCGACCTGGAAGGCTCAATCGTCTGCACACCCAGGAAAGCTGCGCCATGAAGCACCCGAGGGAGGCTATGCCACCACCACGCACCATATATGCTGAGGCATTCTACCGCCGATCCGCAGGCTGGATGCAGCGCATACATGAGCAGCTCATTCAGGAACAGGCGAACGAGATGCAGATGCAGAACCCTCGACCCCTGTCTGTGCACGACACCCTCCGACTAAGGTCAGTCAGCCACTCCAGGCCGCGGTCCTCCACCGCACGTCCAAGCTCCCGGAGACGCTCCACCTCCCGTCCACGGCGCTCCCGAAGCACTACGCCTCCTCACCTCACGGCACCCAAGGAACACCGGCCAGACCGTTACCGAGGCAACTACGTCCTCCTGGTACACCGACACCGCCCAAAAAGCGGCATCGAGCCCCCGCCACTGGCAGTGCACCCGGCAAGTCGGACAGACCCCCAGAGCCTAAAACTCCATCTCCCAGTCGAGCTGACAGGACACCTGCCCGCCCGAGACCTGCTGCCAGAGACACTGCCCCAGGACCTCCTCTCATGCCCAGGACCCTATATCGGCAGTGGTGCGCTGATCAAGGCAGACCTTTGGAGGACGACAGCTACTCCTACTACTCAGACTCGGAACCGGCCCCGGCCAGGCCCTCTAAAACTGCTCGCGAACGCGCTCCTCCGGCATCACCTGCCCCCGCCCTCAAAGGCAGTCCCTTACCGGCAGGCGAGCTGATCACCCGCCTCCTCCAACCTGTCGCAAAACGTGAACGCTCGGGATCCAGCTCCTCAAGCTCTACACCCAGCCCTACACAAGACTGCCGGAGCCCCAGCCTCATCCAACCTCACAGAGTTGGCACTGGCACATGTCCCAAGCCCCCTGCCAGGAGAGCGCGCCGGCACCGGTCTCACCCTTGGTGGCACAAATTCTCCTCTGTGCGGATATCGAAGCCGAAGCACAGCAGAGAATACATTGTGATCAGACCGATGTACTGGCACCGCCTGCCGAGACTCCCCCCTCTGATGCAACCTCCTGGCCTCTGCCACCTCGCAGGGACCACGTCATCCCTGCAACCTGTGATCAACCTCTCTCTGCCTGCCGGCCGCAGCCTAAGCCTCGCTGAGATCTGCAACCACACAGCTTGCAGCAACAAGAAGGACTCACATGCAGATCTGGTGGCCCAAGCCTACAAGAGTCCCCTTAGAAGTCCCCGGGCTGCGGGGTCTCGATCATGGCACCGCGGGAAAAGGACCGCACACCGCGGCGGGGAGCAGCGGCAGGATCAGCTGCCCTGGCCACCCGAGCTCGAGGACGGGGCAAAGGTCTTGCGAAGGCGAAGTCCAAGGCGGCTCCAGAAGAGGAGAGCTCCAGTGAGAGCTCCAGTGAGGACAGCAGCCCGGCGGAGCCGTCAAGCCTACCCGCGGCAGCTACAGGATCGACTCCCCGAGGACCTCCACCTCCCACTCCGGTCAACCTCCCGCGGGACAGATCGAGAGCCAGATCGACCACTCCTCTCCCAAGGCCAACTACCACAGGATCGACGGCAGACACTGCATCACCTGCGGCCGTTGCGGCGACCACCTCGCATCCTATGCTGCCACCTCCGCTGCCACTTCCAACAGCATCAGCAGCGCTGCCTCCAGCGACGGCCCCACCAGGAGGAGACACCATGCCGACCCCCTCGCCTACAGCATCTCGGCCACCTGCACCTGGACCACATGGAGCAGCACATGGACCGCCTCCGCCTACCCCAGCTGGGCCCCACCATGGAGGACCTGTTGGCAGCCACACAGGAAGACCTGCTGGAGCACCACCTGTGCCGAGACCTCGCCCTGTGCGAGCGGCCGGCTGGGTGCCAGGATCAACCGGCTGGACCATCACGATCCACATCCGACCATGTGCCCCATAGGCACTGGCACTTCTGCAAGACACCAGGATCTGCCCTTCTTCCGGTTCACTCGGACGCCTCGATGCAACAGCCTCAAAACAAACGAGCCTCCGCAAGTAGATGCCTCGTGCGTAGTCTGCTACAACAGAAGCTGTCCATGTTACCTAAGGGGTCCGGTCAAGGGTTCGGCCACTCCTGCTCCCATCCTCAGGCCTGCGCTGCTGAAGCCACTCCATCCAGCCGGAACCTTATTGATGCAATGGCCCGACTGACCTCCCTGACCGAAGTGCTGACACTGCAGGCCGGAACCTCTAACCATGCCCAGTGCGCCAGCCAAGTTCGGGACACCTGTCTCTGCTCCTCCAGCGCTGGAACCTGTGTTCCGCATCGGCACCGACCTAAACACCTGTGCACAGGTACCCCTGACAGGTCCTCCCCACCCTCAGGAGCAGCAGACCACAGCCTTGCACCAGATATGC